ATATCATACAATACCATGGTATATAAAAATTAGCAATGTTTGGAGTATATAAATCATGGTATACCTATTTCATGGTATATAAATCACATAGTATACAATGGAAGGTCTTACCATTGATATCATACAATACCATGGTATATAAAAATTAGCAATGTTTGGAGTATATAAATCATGGTATACCTATTTCATGGTATATAAATCACATAGTATACAATGGAAGGTCTTACCATTGATATCATACAATACCATGGTATATAAAAATTAGCAATGTTTGGAGTATATAAATCATGGTATACCTATTTCATGGTATATAAATCACATAGTATACAATGGAAGGTCTTACCATTGATATCATACAATACCATGGTATATAAAAATTAGCAATGTTTGGAGTATATAAATCATGGTATACCTATTTCATGGTATATAAATCACATAGTATACAATGGAAGGTCTTACCATTGATATCATACAATACCATGGTATATAAAAATTAGCAATGTTTGGAGTATATAAATCATGGTATACCTATTTCATGGTATATAAATCACATAGTATACAATGGAAGGTCTTACCATTGATATCATACAATACCATGGTATATAAAAATTAGCAATGTTTGGAGTATATAAATCATGGTATACCTATTTCATGGTATATAAATCACATAGTATACAATGGAAGGTCTTACCATTGATATCATACAATACCATGGTATATAAAAATTAGCAATGTTTGGAGTATATAAATCATGGTATACCTATTTCATGGTATATAAATCACATAGTATACAATGGAAGGTCTTACCATTGATATCATACAATACCATGGTATATAAAAATTAGCAATGTTTGGAGTATATAAATCATGGTATACCTATTTCATGGTATATAAATCACATAGTATACAATGGAAGGTCTTACCATTGATATCATACAATACCATGGTATATAAAAATTAGCAATGTTTGGAGTATATAAATCATGGTATACCTATTTCATGGTATATAAATCACATAGTATACAATGGAAGGTCTTACCATTGATATCATACAATACCATGGTATATAAAAATTAGCAATGTTTGGAGTATATAAATCATGGTATACCTATTTCATGGTATATAAATCACATAGTATACAATGGAAGGTCTTACCATTGATATCATACAATACCATGGTATATAAAAATTAGCAATGTTTGGAGTATATAAATCATGGTATACCTATTTCATGGTATATAAATCACATAGTATACAATGGAAGGTCTTACCATTGATATCATACAATACCATGGTATATAAAAATTAGCAATGTTTGGAGTATATAAATCATGGTATACCTATTTCATGGTATATAAATCACATAGTATACAATGGAAGGTCTTACCATTGATATCATACAATACCATGGTATATAAAAATTAGCAATGTTTGGAGTATATAAATCATGGTATACCTATTTCATGGTATATAAATCACATAGTATACAATGGAAGGTCTTACCATTGATATCATACAATACCATGGTATATAAAAATTAGCAATGTTTGGAGTATATAAATCATGGTATACCTATTTCATGGTATATAAATCACATAGTATACAATGGAAGGTCTTACCATTGATATCATACAATACCATGGTATATAAAAATTAGCAATGTTTGGAGTATATAAATCATGGTATACCTATTTCATGGTATATAAATCACATAGTATACAATGGAAGGTCTTACCATTGATATCATACAATACCATGGTATATAAAAATTAGCAATGTTTGGAGTATATAAATCATGGTATACCTATTTCATGGTATATAAATCACATAGTATACAATGGAAGGTCTTACCATTGATATCATACAATACCATGGTATATAAAAATTAGCAATGTTTGGAGTATATAAATCATGGTATACCTATTTCATGGTATATAAATCACATAGTATACAATGGAAGGTCTTACCATTGATATCATACAATACCATGGTATATAAAAATTAGCAATGTTTGGAGTATATAAATCATGGTATACCTATTTCATGGTATATAAATCACATAGTATACAATGGAAGGTCTTACCATTGATATCATACAATACCATGGTATATAAAAATTAGCAATGTTTGGAGTATATAAATCATGGTATACCTATTTCATGGTATATAAATCACATAGTATACAATGGAAGGTCTTACCATTGATATCATACAATACCATGGTATATAAAAATTAGCAATGTTTGGAGTATATAAATCATGGTATACCTATTTCATGGTATATAAATCACATAGTATACAATGGAAGGTCTTACCATTGATATCATACAATACCATGGTATATAAAAATTAGCAATGTTTGGAGTATATAAATCATGGTATACCTATTTCATGGTATATAAATCACATAGTATACAATGGAAGGTCTTACCATTGATATCATACAATACCATGGTATATAAAAATTAGCAATGTTTGGAGTATATAAATCATGGTATACCTATTTCATGGTATATAAATCACATAGTATACAATGGAAGGTCTTACCATTGATATCATACAATACCATGGTATATAAAAATTAGCAATGTTTGGAGTATATAAATCATGGTATACCTATTTCATGGTATATAAATCACATAGTATACAATGGAAGGTCTTACCATTGATATCATACAATACCATGGTATATAAAAATTAGCAATGTTTGGAGTATATAAATCATGGTATACCTATTTCATGGTATATAAATCACATAGTATACAATGGAAGGTCTTACCATTGATATCATACAATACCATGGTATATAAAAATTAGCAATGTTTGGAGTATATAAATCATGGTATACCTATTTCATGGTATATAAATCACATAGTATACAATGGAAGGTCTTACCATTGATATCATACAATACCATGGTATATAAAAATTAGCAATGTTTGGAGTATATAAATCATGGTATACCTATTTCATGGTATATAAATCACATAGTATACAATGGAAGGTCTTACCATTGATATCATACAATACCATGGTATATAAAAATTAGCAATGTTTGGAGTATATAAATCATGGTATACCTATTTCATGGTATATAAATCACATAGTATACAATGGAAGGTCTTACCATTGATATCATACAATACCATGGTATATAAAAATTAGCAATGTTTGGAGTATATAAATCATGGTATACCTATTTCATGGTATATAAATCACATAGTATACAATGGAAGGTCTTACCATTGATATCATACAATACCATGGTATATAAAAATTAGCAATGTTTGGAGTATATAAATCATGGTATACCTATTTCATGGTATATAAATCACATAGTATACAATGGAAGGTCTTACCATTGATATCATACAATACCATGGTATATAAAAATTAGCAATGTTTGGAGTATATAAATCATGGTATACCTATTTCATGGTATATAAATCACATAGTATACAATGGAAGGTCTTACCATTGATATCATACAATACCATGGTATATAAAAATTAGCAATGTTTGGAGTATATAAATCATGGTATACCTATTTCATGGTATATAAATCACATAGTATACAATGGAAGGTCTTACCATTGATATCATACAATACCATGGTATATAAAAATTAGCAATGTTTGGAGTATATAAATTTGTTGCTGAATTCAAAATTATCATGTACATGTACTGAATTCAGTTACTGTTTGTTGCTGTTCCAAGGTGGCTGAAATTTGGCTGTTATAGTTGTCCAAATTAAGCTTTTCTATGATTTTTGTTTTTGTTTTTTGTTTGAAGTAAAAATAACCAAATAGTGTGGAAGCTGGTTTAGTTTAACATTTAGTAAAATGATGCCACTTAGCAATATTAGAGTGATTAATTCCCTAAGGATATAATTATTGTCATAATAGAGTAAGTGGGAACTAACTATTTTCTTATCTGTTCAATGAGAATATTATTCTCAATATGGAATAGTTAGTTTAGTGTATCATTAGGTATCATATACTCCTTTTAATAAGTGCTTTCTTCTCCATTGGTAACAAAACTTGAATATGGAATAGTTAGTTTAGTGTATCATTAGGTATCATATACTCCTTTTAATAAGTGCTTTCTTCTCCATTGGTAACAAAACTTGAATATGGAATAGTTAGTTTAGTGTATTATTAGTGTATTATTAGGTATCATATACTCCTTTTAATAAGTGCTTTCTTCTCACTCTGTATATCATTCTCAATATGGAATAGTTAGTTTAGTGTATCATTAGGTATCATATACTCCTTTTAATAAGTGCTTTCTTCTCCATTTGTAACAAAACTTGAATATGGAATAGTTAGTTTAGTGTATTATTAGTGTATTATTAGGTATCATATACTCCTTTTAATAAGTGCCTCTACCTTACATAAACTGCTATTTCTTTAACCTTAAAACTACTGGTTTTTGACCCATGAGACTGCTAGTTAATAGAACACACTGTAAATTGGATAGAACAGGGTAATGTTATGGGCCTTTTGTAGACATGGCAGTCTCATGGGTCATGTAATTATTAACTGGTGTGTAGATATGTATATTGAATCTCATGAATAATTTTTGACCCATGAGACTGCTAGTTATGAATAACTGAAATGCTTGTGTTATTAACTGCTATTTCTATCTATATTCAGTAATTTTCCTTATATAACATATGGTCCTATCTATAAACCAGATAAATTTCCTTAATTCGTTATGAATAATTCCTTATGAATAAACCAGATAAATAAACCACATAATTCCTTATGAATAAACCAGATAAGCCAGTTATGAATAATTCAATTTCGTTAATTGGAGTAATTTTCCTTATATGACATATGGTCCTATCTATAAATTAGATAAATGTTAATTATAAACCAATTTCAATTCATTTTCATAGCATTACAACCTAAGCAACCCAAAAATCTTATTAAGAAGCTCAACTATCATTAACTTAAGATTTTATTTATATGGGTTTTCAGTTGTATTTTGATATCGATATGGAACCTGAGAATGACTGTGATTGGAAGCCAAAATTGGGAATGGTATTTGATTCTGAACAATGTGCGTATGAATTTTATAATACATATGGAGGAAGAATGGGGTTTAGCATAAGAAGAGATTATTGTAAGAAGGACAAGTTCAGTAATCAACTTATTCATAGACTTTTGGTTTGCAACAAGGAGGGATTTCGAAAGGTTGACAAGCGAGACCCATTGTCAAAAAACTCTAGAGCTGAAACTAGGACTGGGTGTGAGGCTCGACTTTATATTAAATTACATGAGGGTAATGGAAAATATGTTGTGACTGATTTCAAAGAAAAACACAACCATGATCTTGTATCACCTGAGTGTGACCACATGTTGCTGTCACAAAGAAAGATCTCCACTACCCAAGCAATTCAATTAGATTTAGCGGCACAATCTGGTCTTCGTTTAGGCCAGTCTTTTGAACTCATGGGTAGGGAAGCTGGTGGAAGGCAATGTCTTGGTTTTACGAAGTTAGATTCTAAAAATTATTTGAGAACCAAAAGACAACAAAGTTTAGCATATGGGGAAGTAGGCAATGTCTTGCAATACTTTAAAGAAAAATCTTTGCAGAATCCTTCATTCTTCTATGCTGTTCAATTAGATAATGAGGAGCAAATAACCAATATGTTTTGGGCCGATGCACAAATGATCATGGATTATGCCCAATTTGGTGATGTTGTCACATTTGATACGACTTACAAGTTAAACAAAGAACATAGACCCTTCGCATCTTTTGTGGGATTCAACCATCACAGGGAAACAGTTACATTTGGTGCAGCATTGTTGTATGATGAGACCGCCGAATCGTTTGTATGGTTGTTTGAAAACTTTCTACCGGCTATGTCAAGGAAGGCACCGAAAACTTTGTTCACCGATCAAGATGCTGCAATGGCTAAATGACAGAATCTATGAAACCTAAGTCCGGATACAATAATCAAGTGGGAAAAGACCGGGGTCGCTATAGTTATGCCTGACACAAGTCACCGATTGTGTACTTGGCAATTGATGCAAAATGCTTTAAAACATGTTAACTGTTTGTTCCAAGATAAGGGGGTCAAGGGTGTACTAAATAAATTCTTCTTTCACATTGAAGATGCAAATCAATGGAAATTAGAGTGGGCGGAAATGCTTGATAAATATGATGCGCATGAAAACCATTGGTTGAAATTGACTTTTGCGGTGAAAGAAAAATGGGGATGGCCTTATGTTAGATCAACATGGGCTGCGGGAATGAGTACCACACAACTTAGTGAATCTTTTAATGCTTTTTTGAAAGATTACATTCGTTCGGATTTCAAATTAAATGAATTCTTCATGCATTTCGAAAGGGTACTTTATGAGAAACGATACAAGGAGTTAGAAGCGGGCTATGCTTTGTGCCAAAGGTTACCAAAGGTGAAAGCAACAATAAGAATGTTAATTCAAATGGGTAACGTCTACACAAAAAAGATCTTTGAGGAATTTCAAAATGAGTACTTTCAATCCATTGAATCAGACATAGAAGCAATTGAATATGGCGAAGCTAGTACCATTTACACAGTTGTTGATGTTGGTAACAAACATGCAAGGAAAGTGAAGTTGGAGAGGGATGGCTCTTTGGGTTGTAATTGTACAAAGTTTGAAAGGGAAGGAATCTTGTGTTCTCACTCATTGAAGGTCATTAGAGACATATTGAAGATGAAAGAGGTTCCTCCACAATACATTCTGAAGAGGTGGACCAAACAAGCAAGAGCCGAAACTGCGCAGCACATTAAGGAAAATGACATTCAAGTAGATGTGAAATTCCAACAAGCCTCGCAGTATAAGACATTGATAACCGCATTTAGAGCACTAGCAAGTAGAGCTGCTAAAACTGAAGAAACCTATGATTTGGCAATTGCACAACTCACTACATTAGGTGGAAATGTTGAATGCAAGTTAAGTGCTCATTTTGCAATTGAAAATGAAGTACGTAATGAGGATGAACCCAAAGCGTTGAAGTGGATTGCGAAGGTGACAATCATGTTGTGCAACCAAGAGGCTTGAAGAAAAAGGTGGCAACTACTAAGGGCAAAAGGAGAGTAAAAGGTGGATTCGAAGCGGCGCTAGTAGCAAACTCGAAAAAAAAAAACCCGTGCTAATACCTTGGCTACTTCATAATCTATTGCAGGTCCAACAGTTAGACCTTCACCATTATCTATTAGAGGAGATGTCTATAGTCATTAATATGTTGCTTCAACCTCTTCCTCCCCTTCATCCTCTTCCTCGATCTTTGCCCATGGGTGGTAATTACATTCCTCCGCCATTGATGTATCCCACATATCATGTAAGTCTTACTTTAACATTGTATTTTTTGTGTGGATATAATATGTGACTAAAACCATAACTGAAAGCATATATGACATTCTTGTAGGCGAACAATTTGCGGGAGATGTATGTGGTGCCAAATTATTTGCCAACTCAACCAACATTCCAGTCACTACTACAAGGTTCATGTGGATATGACATTGGGTTTCGATATTCTCAAGAATCAACTACTCCAATGTGTAGTCAGGTTCGTCGTTGATGTATTTTTAGTTTATAGTTGCTGAAAATTCTGTGATATCATGTATTTATAGTTGCTTAAAAATTCTGTCTTTTTTTTTGTAGGCTATGGACAACCATGAACAGAACCAAACTGATGCTGAAATTGGGCTGCAACGTGAAGTCATGGCCTCTCAAATTGTGAAGCAAACTGCTGCTGGAAAGTGATGTTAAAGTACTAATGTGTCAATTTTTAAGGACCAATGAATTAATTTTGATGTTAAAGTTGTACTGGTTGATGTTCATTTACAGTTGATTTTAATTTATATGTTAAACCCAAGTGAACTGGTTATTGTTAATGTTCATTTAGCTTGGTTGATGTTGGTTATTGTTAAAGTTGTACTGGTATTGAACATGCTGTATTGAACACTGTTATGCAGATTCTGAAATGGTTATTAACAACTGGTTAACAGTTTTGAATTGCAGTTCCAGGACCCTTGAACTGAGAAGTTTGTTAACAGTTTTTTTTAACAAATGGTTATTAACTTGGTTGATGTTTGTTAACAGTTTTTATTGACAAATGGTTATTAACTTGGTTGATGTTTGTTAACAGTTTTTATTAACAAATTGTTATTAACTTGGTTGATGTTTGTTAACAGTTTTTATTAACAAATGGTTATGCAGATTCTGTTTTGAACACTGTATGCTGGTTCTGGTATGCTGGTTTGAACACAGAAAAGTTATGGTATGCTGGTTTTGGTATGCTGGTTTGAACACTTAAGCTCACAACATGGCCTTCTTAGAACAAAACATTATTAGCAAATGCATTCTGTTGAATTCATTCTGCTGGTTCATCTAGTAAATGCATTCTGTTGGTATGCATCTGTTGGAATTAATTAGCAAATGCATTCTGTTGGATTCTGTTGGAATTCATTAGTAAATGAATCCTGCTGGTATGCATTTGGACAATAAATGAATTCTGCTGGTATGCATTAGTAAGTGAATTCTACCCATTAAATCCACTAGGACAATAAACCATCTAAAAACCATCTCAAATCATTCCCAACTTCCCAAATTCCATTCATAAAAACATCATAAAGTACAAACATCATAAATCCATAATAACATTAGTCAAATTTTTTGGATACTAACATTACATCATAAAGTACATTACATCCATAACTCCATAATAACATTAAATCCATAAATCCATAATAACATTACATCCATAACTCCATAATAACATTAAATCCATAAATCCATAATAACATTACATCATAAAGTACAAAAGTAAACCAAATACAATCAAATACACCATCGCCTTCAGAATATTTTCCACCCTTCGAAGCCTTCGACCATAGTCGCCATGTTCATTTTCCACGTCATACAGCCTCCTCCTCAGCTCGTTAAAGTCTTCTACTGTAACACCATCAGAAGCTCTAGTGTTGGAACGGATTGTGGACGTCACATCTTCATCATCTTCAGCCACGAACTTGAAGTAATTGCAATTGGGATTTTCAGTCTACAATGCAACCAACAATTAGTTAGTCTATTAAAACAAATTAAATTGTGACTACTTACATATTTAATATTTGCAATGCAATACTTACATATTTTGATGGGCAAACAAAGAACAAATGCCCTTTATTTCCATTCTCATTTGTTTTTACGATATGTATGGCAGCTGTTCTTCCACAATTGCACATTCTCGGTTTTAATCTTATGTTGTTGTTGTCATTAGAAGAAGAAGCCATTTGTAAATCTACATAGACAATACAACACAAACAGTCAGCCCTCGAGAAACCAATTTAGTTTTGAAACCAACATTGTAGTGGGCTCATAAAAACCTATTCTATCTGTTATTCAGCATTGTAGTTCTACATACAAATTGATTAGGTGTCAAAGTGTTTAGTTGCACTGAATTCAGGAAAACAATGCTACAATTCTGGGCAACAAATGAGAATGATGCTTGACCCTGTTCGTATTTATGCAACAGCTATTTACGTTGGGTGTGTTGTCTTAGCTCTCATATGTGCTCTCTTGGTAAGTCTCTGAGCTTCACTGAACAGGAAAGTAGTAGTAGTAGTAGTAGTATGGAGGTTCTTTGGAATACATGTAGTGAATACTTGACTACATGGCCAGATGGGGAGAATATTGTAATGGAGGTTCTTTGGAATACTTGTTGACATGGAGGATAAGCTCTTTTTCACTGTTCAATTAAAAGGACACAATAGTTCTTCATAGGACAAATTTATTTGCGTCATTTTTCATTAATCCTTTCATCTGTTTTAAAAATGTAATGAGATTGGATTATAGGTTATCCTAGGTAGCCAAGTTCATTTTGTACATTTATCTTCTGGATTTTATGTTTTACGTTTGACATCAATTTCAAGAGCATATGTAAATAATTCAAAAATATCTCTAAAATTTATCAAATACATAAAACAGCAAAAGAAAATTTTGAAATGGCTCATTTTTTTTTAAAAGTAGTGCAAAAGAAAATTTTGAAATGGCTCATACTTATGGGCTCCTCTTTTTTGGTCCTTGCATCATGTTAAGTCCAACACAGGAATTTTGGCAGTTCCTTGACATTTAAAGATGGAATCAGCACTAGCATAATGTTTATAGTAACTTTTTTGGGAACTACTTTTTAATCTTCTGAATTTTTTGCTTGCAGATTCGTAGTAAGGTTTTGACAACACTAGCAATTATAAGTGAGATCTGTGCCCTAATTTGGTGAGTGCTTTTCACATGCATAATTCTTGTTTATTTTTCATGAACTCTACTCTCACTTATACTGTGTGCAAACTTGTATTGTTCAGGTTCACAACTATCATATATGCATACAATACACCATCTAAGAAGTTCCAATCATACATCATAAAGCTGTTGCTAGAAATTTCCCTTCAGTACATGCGTACATATTGATAAGTAAATTCCCCTCGAGTATATTTCCAGAAATATACAGTCAATTCATGCTCGGTATAAGAGTATTACAACTAACTATCAATATTCTCAAGTGATTGGTTCAAATACAATAAAAGGCGGAAAAAAAAAAAAAAAAAACCACATACAAAATGAGAACTGTCCATCTTATGTCAAGAAAAATCAAATCCTAATTGCAAAACAATAGCAACAAAGTTACTTCACAGGGGGTTCGCGGTCCTTCCGAATTAACTTATCCATGTTATCCATGATTCCTACCTTTAAGAAGTGTTAGCCAACATTTGGTTTCTGTATAACTACACTTACTGACATTGATTATGTTTTATTGCCCTCACTCATTTTCCTTTAAAAAAACTTCCAAAAACCTCCCTAAAGGTTTAAGAGATGGTGGATGCAACTTTTTCGGTGCAACAAAACCACAACAGAAGTTACATCCCCTACTTTTTGGTTAATATTTTTCTCATTTTATACTGTCTACTAATTTTCCCATTTTTTTTTCTCTTGTAAAGTTTCTCCATATTTTTTGACATTTTCCTGCTCTTTCGTATTTTAATTGAGATTTTCTTTTCCTTATTTTTTAATACTCATAGGGTGAATTACACTCTCCTAAAATTTTAAAAAAAATACAATAAGATTCACTATTTTGACATAATTACACTAACCTCAATTTTAGTAATGACAAAACAATTTGAAACAAGTGAAGTGAAAATACAAAAATAAACAATGTAAAATATGCATTTACATATAAAAGATATAATGATATCATTTTTCTATCTATATTACTAATAAATTATTGATAAAAATGAGACTAAATATTAAATGAACTAAAATCAATGTGTTAGCCAACATTTGGTTTCAAGCCATTAAAATGTTTTTTATGGGGCACACACACCTGTTAAAATTGATTTATTAGCAGAAGCCATTACAATTTATTTATCCTACAGCTACAGGTACTGATATTCATGTTAATGCCTTCTTAATGGCTTGTATTTAGGCAATTTAAGGTAGTAAATTACAGAAGTACTAACATATGGACAGAGATGGAAAAAAAAAGAAGAAGAAGAAGAAGAAAAGGAAACCCAAATCAAAGCCCTAAATTTGTAGCCGTTGGAATCCCAAATGAAAGCCCTAATTTTGAAATTCCAAATCTAAAACCCCTAAATTTTTTCAGACGTTTCAAACTCCCAAATCAAAGCCCTAATTTTGAAATTTCAAATCTGAAAAGCCCTAAATTTTTTCAAAAATCCCAAATCTGAAAAGACCCATATTTTTTCAGAAATTCCAAACTTCTTAATTTCAGATGTTTGAAGACCAACCTGGTTCGTGATCTATGCTCAACTGATGGTGGTCGTCGCGGTGGAGTTCACGAAGCGTAGAGGCTGAAGCGGTGGAGCTGTGGTCGTCGTGGGGTCGCCGTTGGGACTGGTCGCTGGTTCGCCGGTGAGGATAGGTTCGGTGGACGACCACGATCGACTGTAAGGCTGAGTGAAAGTGAGAGAGTGAGAGAGTGAGAGTGAATATGCCTCTCAGCTATGTTGTTGTTTTGTTTGGGCGGGAAGTCGAAAACACAACATTTT